CTCTCTCTCTCTCTCTCTCTCTCTCTCTCTCTCTCTCTCTCTCTCTCTCTCTCTCCTACCTTCTCAGTCTAAGTCTACTTCTGGGTTCTCCTACGGGACTACTATAAGTATGAAGGATGGTTACGAATTCTGATGACATTGGAGACAGCAACATTGGGACTATAGGTTGAGGACTACTTGTGGGATCTGATTTCATCTTCCTCTGGAGATGTACTTGACATTGTGAGATCGATATCTGAGACATTGTGAGACACTGTATTCGTGACATTTCGGATTTTTGCTACCTCTGGCATTTCAAGATACTATCTTTGGAAACATTGAGTTGGCGTCATCTTCCCTCTCCTCCTCCCTTCGTCTCTCTCCTCCCCACTTTCGTCCGTGGATGATCTTAGACCCTGGCCTTTCGTCTGTGCCCAAGGCCAGGGCTTTCACACCACTGATGTATGATTGAGAGTGTTTGATTGCAGTCCGAGTCAGGTGAGAGTCAGTCCATGTATCTCAAGTCTTCCGCTGACATTGTATCAACTCTGTATTGTCTGGTTGGTTCTGGGAATCTGCGCCATACTTATGACTGTGTTTCACGAGTATGCAACACAGATTGACTCCTGAGTCTCCCTTTATCTTTTCCCTCGCTGTTATCTGTAGCCCGCACTCCTTGCATTCCCCTTCTATTTCCTTGCTCCGTCAGTCCTCTTTCTGTCTCGCCTTACCCTGTTTCCCCTTCCTCTGTCATCTTTTCTACAACTTGCAAGTGTGCCGTTATGGAAGAAGGGGGTGGGTGTAGGAACCTCACATTGAACCACACCCACATGGTGAACCTTGCACCTGATTGGGACAGGAATAGGGAGAGCTGAAAGAAATTCAAGGACTCAATTGACGGGAATTAAGAAATTCCGAGATGCAAAAGACTACAGAAGATTCTTGAAGGCACCTTGTGGAGACGGCGTTTGACAAAAAAAAAACTAAGTTTAGATCATGAAAAATTTGAGTTGAAAGCACAGTGATAAAGCCAAGACCCCCCCCCAAAAAAAAAAACATAAATCCAAGTTCTCACGAATCAAAAACACACTGACCAGTGAACACTGAAAAAAAAAAAAAAAAAACACAGAACACTGAAGTCTCTTGACAATGAAAGCCCTCTTTTGGCCTTCCACAATCAAGACAACAAGAATGTAGTAGCCCCACTATGATCTGTCCACCTAGACTACTCTCCTTACTCGACTTACTCAAGCTAGACTACCACCCCTCACACACTCTCTGATACATGCTCGATTGAGCGATGGAGCCAAAGGATCCGCAAAGTGATGAAAGGGACTCGAATGGACAATGCGTCATCAGCAAAGCATCAACAAGCAATGTGCATCCAGATACATAACAAAAATAGCACAATGTAGCACAGCGGAAGACTCAAAGATATGACCTGACCTGTCAGATACTGACGCGATTCAACTCATCACACACCACACGTGAGAGAGGAGGAGGGGCTGCATGCATAGAAGAAAGGCCCCTCCTTTGACACGCACATGGGGAGATACCACGGATGAGGTGAGGGAGGAAGGGCAAGGCGAAGACGGAGATGAGGGAGAAGACCAAGATCGCGATAGCGAAGTCCAAAAATAGTCTCCCTGCCGAATGTCCAACCAATGTCTGCCGCGAAAGATGTCGACTCAGATCCTGGGCCTCATGGCCCGACATAACCTCTGCCTGTAATCTCTCTCTCTCTCTCTCTCTCTCTCTCTCTCTCTCTCTCTCTCTCTCTCTCTCTCTCTCTCTCTCTCTCTGTGTGTCTGAAAGAAGAAGAAGAAGAAGAAGGAGGAGGAGGAAGAAGAGATGGACCGCGAGAACAGGAGACGAAGAAAATGTTGCCCTCCTCGCTGTCTCACCTGCAGGTATCTGCTGCCATTTACTAATGAGCCGGTGTGTCCCTCTGTGCTGCAGGTCGCTGGCGAGTAGTCCAGCTATGGCGCCCAGGTAAGTCCTCCGCCTCTGCAGGTATGACCATCACCTCTCTCCCTACCTACACCTCTACCTCTAGCGTAGCGCTGTATCGCGCTGCTCCAGCAGCATGTCGCCCAAGAAGTGAGCTACTGGAACTGTGTGTAGGAGCTGGGCTGGCCGAGCTATAAATAGCGATGGGCCTGGCTGGTGTGCCCGTGGTCTGCAATCTGGACCACGAGATCGGGTGTCCGATGCACGGTCCAGGTTGCAGGAAAACTCCTGCTCCTCTGGTCCTGGCCTGAAACGGCCTGCCTGGTCCCTACCAGACGTCCAGGCCCTCCCTGCTGAGGTAGCAGGGAGTGTCCGCTACCTGACGCAACTGAACCTGGCCTGAAAGGGCCTGGCCACGAATGGAGGCGGCCCAAAACGTGGCCTTGGTCCGAACAGACCACAAGTCTGTTCAGACACACTGCACGTCCGAAACGACGCCTGAAACAGACAAAAATAGAACAGACGAATGAAGTCAGCAAAAATAAATAAATAAATAAAATGCTGCCTCAATCTGGACCTGCGGCCTCCAAAGTGGGCGTGGGCCTCCAGGTCGCATGCCTGGAAAGGCATGCGGCCTGGGGGCCCTCAGCAACTGTCGGGCCCCCCCAAAAGGGGCCCGTGTGCAGGCTCAGCATGTAACACTTTCTATCCACTCTCCTCTTGCCGGATGTCGCTGAAGAGTCTGATCACAGGAATCACTTCTGGGTCAACAGCAGGTAAGTATCCGCCTGTTACCATAATGCTCCTTCCCTAATCCCCTCCTCGACACGCCACCTTTTTCCAAGCCCTGCACTGCTTAGGTGTGGCAGGCGCAGGCACAGGCACAAGCAGCTACCACTTTGCTGCCTTCGTCTCGCGGACGCTCAACTGGATGTGAGTGCTGCTCTTGTCCTACTGCATGCTTCCCGCTGCCCAAATGTCTGATCTGCTTGGCCTCTCCTTGTTTTCTGTGCTCAGGCCAGGGTCTGGTCCCTCGTTAGGCAGTCCCTACCCACCTGGGTTCCAGCGCAGGTAACTACCCCGGCCAGTACCGTGATGAGGCCTACCTGCTAGTTAAGGGGGCCATTTCTTGCCCATGCACATTTTTCACTTAGTGCCCACCAACTTTTCATGAATGGTCTTTTCTCAGGTCCGCCGAGGCCTGCAGCCTCACATTTCCACCGCATAGGTTGTTCGAAAGTCCTCTGAGAACCCTTATGCTTGCTGTTGCCGTCCTTTCAGAGCTCTCGCATACTGCAGAACCACTTGGGGTGCAGACTTAGTTAATTCTTCTCTTGTAAATCACCTGTCTTCACTTGGATCCAGATGATGTTTGAACTTTGAACTCCACTCGAGACTCCATTTGGGGTTTTGGTGGTCTCCCTCTGCATGGTGGCTTTGGCACAGGCAACCACCTGTGTTCCAAAATCCGGTAGACGTCAAGCCATCCATTGTTGGAGGCAGCATGGAGCACAGAGAAGGAAAGTGATCTTTTTTTTCATTATTCATTTTTAGAAGAAGGCAAGAGTCCTCCGGGTTCAGAAGCGGAATCCAGCCCGGACACACAGTCCCACAAGGACCCAATCAGAGACATGGCACCAATACTACCAAAAAAATGGAAGCCTTCGAAGGGCAGAGACAATAGGCCCAGGAAATCTCAAGCTGATACATCGGAAAAAGGTAGCGAGCAGCGATCCATCAAACGGGAGATAGCCATTGTCACTGCTCAGACAAAATGCCTGTTCGATCAGAATGAGTACCGCCAGAAACACAACAAAGAGTACTGCACAATCTGAAATGTCGCGGAGAACAGGGCTCCCCATGTCACTGAGAAAGCAGCATCAGACCGCAAAAACAATCAAAGTCGTCAGACCTCTGGTCCCCGTCCGGTACAGGAGGGAACTTGGCGAGTGGCAGGTAGCCACTGATGTATCCTTCACTATCCCGACGCTGGGAGACCAGCAGTCCCTGGCCATAACTATCAAAGAAGGGATCTCGGACGAATTCCCTGCGGGCGTTTATGAAGTCCCAGCGGCCCATGCAGATAATGAAGACGAAACAGGCCAGGCCCCCGACACAGCCAGGTCCTTCGAGCCAATCATAGTAAAACTGGATGAGAAAGCCAAATTACATGAAGGACTGGTATGAAGAGCGTGGAACACTGAGACAGCGCTGCCGTACAGCACTCTTGCAGGAAAGATGTGCCCGACAGAGGTCATGGCGGTCTCCCTTCCCTCCATTATCCGGTCCCACATTCTCATCACAGAGCACTCCTTGCAAGACGAAGCCAAGGCGCTCTACGTGGAGCCCGACGACGACGAGGGAAGTATGGCCGATGACGAAGACTACGGGGTGGCTGACGGGATTTCCCCAGAAGGAGCAGGGACTGGAGCCACGCCGTTGCCCGAAGGTAGCGTGGGGGCATACACCCTGAGCTCCATGCCGGGGAAAGAGATCAGCGAGGGCAACGAGAACAGCGAGGACTCTGAGCGGGGCAGCCCCAAAACCTCTGCCGCTGTGGACTAAATATATCGAACCTCCAATTATCAACCCTGCCCAACAAACGCCCATCCCAACCGAGCAAAAAAATAAATAAAAAATAATAAAAAATCAATCAATCTGAACACAACACCCCACCAAACGAAATCAAATGGACTGCAACGAGGATCAGTCTGGGACAAGGAGGGTAGATTGGCAAGCCAAAGGACTGACGATCCACAGCTGGAACGTCAACGACTTGGGTAACATTCTCAATGAAGACGACAAACTACGAGACATCAGACTCAACCTCACAGAGAAAAGAAAGCCCAAACCCAATGCCATCCTTCTACAAGAGACCCATCTATCAAACCTCACCAACCACACCAGAATCAAGAAGACCGTGGAAAAAAACCGAGGTGGATGCCCTTTCACACTGTGGTCCAACAAAGCGGACCAAAGCAACCGCGGCACAACGATCCTTATATCAACTACATCCAAAATCTGGTCTGAAGGACAGGTAAGAAACGGCGAAGGCGACACAACGGAAGAAAGATGGTCATGGATCCAAATCACATGGCAAGAGGAAGAGATCAGGATCCTGAACATATACGCCCCCAACACGGAAACCGAACGCCTAGCTTTCTTTAACCACACCAAATCACTCTTCACGAACCCCCTACCGCTAATCATTGTAGGCGACTGGAACACCACGATGGATCCCAGCCTAGACCGCATCTCCCGGGCAACGCTTCTGACGGAGTTCGATCTGATAGACCCTTTTCGAATCCTCCACCCATGCAAGAAAGTCTTCTCCCTAGTCAAAAGAAACCGATCTACCCACACATCACTATCACGGATCGACTTCTTCCTAATCTCCGACATGTTGCAGGGAGCAATCAAGGAGTCCGATATCCTACCAGCAGCTGCCTTCAAGGGGCTCGATGACAAACCGACCTACCCGCTCCTCAACTTCAACTCTCCGGTAGAAAAAGGGCGAGGTTTCTTCAGACTCAACAACTCACTTCTCTCCACAGATCGCATGACAGAGGCAGCCAGATGGAACTGGGCTTTCTTACAACAAGACGAGATGAAACTCCAGAACAGGCACAAGTGGTTCATAGACAACTATACGGACCTATCTCAGACGATCTCAGCAAAGTCTAGAAGCATAGCAGCAGAACGCAAACTCAGGAAGGAAGAATTGCAAATTGCTCTTGACATCGCTGAAATCCTGCCAACTCCTTCTATAACGACCTACTACAATCTGCCAAGGATGAATTCAATGAATGGAGAAGATGGGAACTCAGGGGCCTACAAATACGTGCCCGAATGAACAACTACGCCCTGAACGAATCCATGTCCAACTTCTTCTTCTCCAAAATTAAGGCCAATTCAAGGAACAACACGATCGAGAGATTGAAGGACCCAGCAGACCAGGGGAAGATAAATTCAGCCAGCACAGACATGGTAAGAATAGCCAGATCTTTCTACACCGACCTCTACGAGTCAAAACTACCTCCCCCCTCCTGGCAGCGAACATCAACGCCCGTCAGCGCATGATGACCTACTTAGAGAGAACACTCAACCAGCAACAAACGGAGGACCTAGACAAACCAATCACCCTAGGGGACCTGCACACTGCCTTGTCCCAGATGGGAAATGACAAAGCACCAGGAATCGATGGCCTGTCCAAAGAATTCTGGATTCAGTTTTGGCCCACACTGGGAAACGACGTCCTGAACTTTATTAATGACAGCAGGGAAAAAACAGGCATGGGTCAATATCTAAGCACCAGCGTAGTCTCACTAATATACAAGAAGGACGACAAGGAGGAACTTAAGAACTACAGACCAATCTCACTTCTCACAACACCCTACAAAATCCTAGCAAAGGCACTAGCAAACAAAATCATAAAACTAAAAGACAAATGCTTTCACATCGACCAAGCAGAATTCGTTTCGGGTCGATATATTTTGGATAATGTGATGGCTCTAAACGGAGCTGCAAGAAGACCACAGAAAAACGGATGCAAGCAGCGATCCTATTCTTCGATTTCGAAAAGGCCTACGATCAAGTCAATAGGGACTTCCTACACAGTTGTATGGAGAAGATGGGAGTCGGCCCAAACTTTAGAGAGTGGGTAAAAGTACTTTATCGGGATGCCATGGGGCAGGGTGCAGATAAACAGAATACTGTGAGAAACCTATCCGATATCGAGATCGGTCCGTCAAAGTGACCCCCTCGCATCCCCTATATTCCTTTTCATAATGGAATCCATTGCATCTTTTCTCCGCAAGGACCCATCCATAGACCACCTCGTTGAACAAAACCACAACCCCCTCCACGACTTTGTTCTCCCCACCGCACAGATGTTTGCATATTATCTTATGGTCCTCATTCGCACCAATAACTCCTCCTTCCAGGCCCTGACCTGCACTATGGAAGCCTTCAGACTCGCCTCATAAATGAAGGTAAACTGGTCGAAAACGAAAGGGTGGTGGCTTGCAACCCCCCCACAACCACCAGACCCATCCACCCCAATGTCATGGACCACAAGCAACCAAGCACTCCGATGCCTGGGTATTATGATAAACAGAGACGACATCTGGCAAGGCATGGGAGAGACTTTAATTGCCAGAACAATAACCCGTCTAGCCACTTGCAACAAATCCCAGACCTCCTTGCTAGGGAGAGCCCGATTATCAACACATCAGTTTTTTCCACTTTGTGGTACTTGACCTCCATATGGTCCCCTCTCGACGACGACCTGAAGAAGTTGAAGGCTAGAGCCAGGTGCTACCTGTGGACTGGCGACCCCAGCAGAACTACCTGCATAAACAAGGTGGTCTGGCAAACCATCATCAGGAAACCACACGAAGGCGGGCTAGGTATAATCGACCCTAAACAGGAAGCGATCGCCCTCCAAATGAAATGGATAGTCAAAATCCTAACCAAACAGGCCCTGTCGTGGACTAAGATGGCGGTAGACAGCATAAGAAATTTGGCACCGGTAGCATCCCCTCCAAACATGAGTGGACTGTTCTGGATCATGGCAAAGGAATGGACAATCAAATCTGGAAGACCTGCTAGGAGTACCAACCCCGGGACCCCCAATCAGCCCCTCACTACGCCCATCCGCTACTGGTCAACAATCCTGAAGGCCTGGCGCCGACTGATGCCAGAAAAGAAAGGGTCCCCTAGCAACAAAGAGGAAGTCCTAAGATAGCCCTTGTTCTGCAATCCTTGGATTAAATACACAGAGTGCAGACCATGGACTCTCCGGGCCAAAGACCGCAGATCGTTGTCTTGGGTGGAGAGAGGAGTATGGCATAATGGCAGGTCAAACATCTATGGTCCGAGGACCGACAAGAATGGTTAACCGTACAAGACCTCCGCACATCCTTAAAAGGATGCCACCTACTGACCACCAACCTGTCATAAATCCTCCAAAGCATTCCCCCCATGGACGACCCTCCTTAAAGAATCACACACGTGGAAACCAAGAGACTGGGGACTGCTCACCACAAGAGCCTACCGCTTCGTGTCCAAACCGTACCCGACCAACTACCAGGCCAAGTTCATATCCTACCCTATCATCAAACACAGCATTTACGAACTAGAGGTCCTGAACAAAATACCACAGAACGAACTAATAGAAACTTGTCTTCTTAGGAAGGTTAGAGTCTCTCACAGGAAACTCTGGATCATCTTCCAGCCGGAACTCAGCATTAAGGAGCTGGAATTCGACCCAAAGGAATGTATATGGGATCTGGGCGCCACCGGGAAATCGAGGACGATAACAGAATATGACGTAAAGTTTGGATATAACCTCGGACTACAAACCAGGGACCCAAATCTGAGGCTGATAGAGAAATCGATAAGCATATTGAACCTAGGTGACACGATCCCCTTCACGATCCCCTTCACCATCCCCTGGACCAAATACCTTCTCATCAAACCTACCAGAATTCGCAGCTTGCAATGGCTAATAGCACATGCAGCCCTTCCCGTCAACAGTGGCTACATACTAGAAGAAACACTCCGACCCTGATAGTTCGGAATGCTGCTCAATGTGCAGCAACAACTCTCCCGAAGACATCCCACACTGCCTCCTGTTCTGCCCAGAAGTGATATGGGTATGGAAGAAGGTCCGCGAGCTATGGTCGATCCTGTTCGCTTCGCCGCCCCCTGACATTCCCCCTCTCTCTATCCTAATCCTAACTAACATCCCCAGCAACATCACAGGCAGAAGGGAAGTATGGTTTACCTTGCTCAGGAAGCTGGCACTGTGGGTAATATGGAAAAGCAGATGCACTCAGACAATCGAGGGTGCACAGGTGGCTAGGGAAGAAATGTGGTCACTACTGCTGAGCACGGCAGAGAGAAATCAGAAGCAGATGGCGGAGAATAGTCAACTCTATAAGACACAGACAAGAAGGACAAGCAACCAAGAAACAGACCTTCACGAGGAACTGGCTGCTAAAGGGCAAGGTGGCGGCGATAGTGGACAACAGGTTAAGGTGGAAGAAATGGCACCAGGCACAATCATGAAGTCTATAAGGTCTCCCGCCGGGCGCCCTGGCAGAGGGTCAAGAAGGCCCTGAAGTGGGATCAACAACAAGGCTAACCGGACACACAACGAAGGACAAGGACAAGCAACAGAACACTGAGCGGGCCCCTCCACTTTTCTCGCATTGCAGGGATTCATTCGACAGGCTCTGAATTGAAGCCTGAGAGGAACAAGTGGTCAGGGCAAGCTGACAGTCAATCCTCCTTAGGAGTAATCAATGCTGGTCAGGGTTCCTTCGGCCAGACGGAAGGAAGCGTTGTGTGGGTAAAACGTTGTAATCTTTTCACTTGCCGGGGGAATAGGAACCGGACTGACGCTCCCCAGAATGGATATGGAGCCGGGACCATAAGGACCTGTTAAAGAAAAAAAAAAAAAAAACTTTGGATGCATGAAAAACTGGGTAAGTGCCAAGGCCAGGAGGATCATCAATCACATAGGATGGGCCGTCAGGATCACCTCATACACAATATTTGGGACAGTCCATGCTCCATAGTCTTGAGGCATTAGCTTTCATGATATGTCCTCTTCTGGTGTGAACTCAGACGACTTGACCCATACCGAATCACCCACCTGAATAAAATTAGGCCTGCATCTATGCTGATTTCCTAACGCTATCATATATCCCTTTGGGACGTTTGCAGCTGGTCTACTGTTCTCTGCAACATCTGTTCATAGTACCTTCATACTCTAGGAGTCTAGGGCCTATTAAATACTTCCAGGGGCTGACCGTGATTTAGGATCTGGGAACAAAAAATCCGATGGAGTCCTAGACGCCCAGCCTAAATGCATTTGGTTGGGTGAGCGGCCTGTTGCTCAATGTATGGCACCGCCCAGATATCTGAGGCAATTTCATATCCCAATCAAGTGGATCATGGGTAATGAAATGACTATGCAACTGCTGAGCTTGTCTGTTTGTCTGTTTAGGTTGGCTGTTAGCTTGAGGGTGACTCCCTGAAGTCATATTCAGTTCCAATCCCTACTTTTTTAGCCAGGTGCTGCCACAGTTCGCTTGTGATCCGCGCATCCCTACTATCACTTACTAGTAGTTACTACACTTCTGGGTACTCCAAAAACTTTAATCCAGTGATTAGCAGATCCAGTGATGACTAACTTTGTATTTGTTGTAGCCGGTAGAGGCATGCATAATGCAAGTCTGGAAAATCTGTCAGTTATCACAAAAATCTGCTTATTTCCCTTCCTTCTGGTGATCAATGTGTCCATGCAGTCCATGGACAAAGACCGGCCAGGTCCTTCAGGAATAGGGAGGGGCTTTCGTAAGCCTAGAGGTGCTTGCATCCGGGCGGGGTTTATCTCTTTGACAAACCTAGCAACCCTCAAAATCAGCAGGCGCATCACCAGAAACGCTGCAACGGATTAGCGAAAGTCTTTTTGAACCCAAAGTAACGGCGAAGTGACCGATAACGTCGTGACACTCTCCCAGGAATAAATTGTTGAGAGACTGTTACATACTTCAATGAGTATGGGCAGAACCAAAGATCAACCAATGTAGGATGAGCATATATGCAGCGGAAGTCTGATAAACGGACTGACTCACATAGACTGACTCACATAGAATCACTCCACACACATACAATCGTGAGATGGTGGGGTCTGGGCCAAGCATGGACGATGCCCAGATCCCGTACACACATACACAGATGAAAGGTGGGAGGAGAGACGAAGGAGGTGGGGGAGGTAGACAGCACCGGTAGGACACCGAGATAGAATCCGATAGGTCACCGATATGGTAGTCCAAAATGTCATCCAACAAGATCAAAWTKTCGAGGACAATCAGTCACCAATGTCGGAGATAMAGAGTCCAAATGTAACCGGTGTCCGAACTGTGATGCCGCTAAGTATCAACCCCAACAATCTCCAAGTCTCCAATCCGGTAAGTACCACAGTCTCATACCACCGAAGTCCAACTAGTATAAGTCTCCAAATCTGAAGAAGAAGAAGAAGAAGAAGAAGAAGAAGAAGAAGAAGAAGAAGATGGAGTCTGAAGAGAAGAAGAAGAAGAAGAAGAAGAAGAAGAAGAAGAAGAAGAAGAAGAAGAAGAAGAAGGGAGCCGAGGAGGAGAGAGAGAGAGAGGGGACTGGCGAGGGGAGGGAGGAGAGAGGCCTCCAACTCCCGATACCTCAGGCGGCTATGGCCGCCGGCACACTCAGTCGCCGCTGCTGCTGCTCGCTCGCTGCTGCTGCGCTAATGCTGCACTGCTGCTCCTCGCTGCTCCTGCGCTAAACTTAGCGCCAGCGCTGTATCGCGCTGTACCATACCGTACCGGTAGAATGCCGGTAGGTCGATAGCCTCACTGAGGCTGGACCGGTACCTTTGTACCGGTGGGCAGAGGTCGGC